CATTGGAAGATTCATTCCGTCTGGCGAAAATCTTGCCCCCGCTTGTCCAAACGAATTTCCAAGACATTTCTTTCTTGCGGGCAATTGTGGCTCCCAGTAGTTGCTTATTAGCACGGGTTAAATGTTCGTTAACGTACACCCTATCGGATCCAGGAAGCCCTAGCATTTGATTTGTGATCTGTCGTTTCCTAGCTTTCGCAAGAACAGCCTCTCCATTACTGACACACAGATGGAGCTCCTGTGACGGCCATGTGTTTGCAACACGTTGGGTAAGAGAATTGAATGTTGAATGAGTTCATAAACGATTCATAAAAAATTTTTATTATTCGGGGCACGAAGACTGCCGCATTAGACTGAAGAACACGCTTTAGGGCAAGTTGTCATCCGTCGTCTGCTCTACAGATGAATTGCTGTGTGCCTCATCTCGGAGGCAATGCTTTAGATCATATGGAACAAAGTAGGGACAAAGATTACGCCTCCCGTAATTTTATTGACAAAAACATTGTGAAATTCATCTTAACGTGCTATACTTCAGTTTTGCATTCGCACTGCAGATACTTGTGCACGCTGCTTTGCGTCTTCTCTCATCAAAGGTGAGAGACATAGGAACAGACGAGAGATAGATCACTTTCGTGCTGCTGGTTTCACGCATAGTTGCATTGCCAGTAATTTAAGCCTCAAGGAGCGTGGCGATGGCTGACCAGTTTGTTCAGATTACCTCATGTTGCATAAAAAGAAAATACCTTATCAAAGAAACTTCGGCAAGGTCGAAGACATCGGCCTGTTTGACCTCCAGAAGCTTTTGCCGAAAGCTGCCCGTCATGCACATAACAACAACCACGTCTGCCAGAACTGCTTCAGACGCCTCAGAGATATGCTGTCTTCGTCTCAGCTGAAACAGCTGATGAGTTTTCGCCGGAAGAAGAAAAAGGCAGAAGTCAAGAGCGGTGCGCAAACACGCCTGAATCATTGTCACATATGCGACTGGAGAAGCTGCATGCGCAAAATAGCAAAGTTCATGCAGAGCCAAGACAACTTAGCAGCAATTCTACAGTAACCTTGAAATGCCACTGTAATGTGTGTAACCGCCACTTTCAACCATCAGATCTAAAATGCAGTGTGTGTGCCGAGTGGTTCAAGGACTTCAAGCAAGCCTATGAAGCGTGTTCTTCGTATCAAGAGCGCATGCGTTTGTTGACACTGTTGCCGAGCGATGTAGAGCGGCGAAAACTACAAGCGCTTATACCAAACTTGTCAGCTTACATGATATACAGATCCCGACGCTGGCGCGCGAAACACGGGATATGGTTAGCACCAAATGCGGTGAAAAGGACACGGCTGAACCCAATGGACGTCCAGGCAGCTATGGCTTACTACTCCAAAGATGAGTATAGCTGCTCTCGGCAGAGTCCCAACAAAAGAGACGTACCGTAGTACCTGTTATCATTGACGGAAAAAAGGAGCTTGTTTCAAAAAGGTTTATGACCCGTTCGGTGCGAGAGGCTTACCGTCTCTTTAGAGAAGCTAATCCAAACACGTCTATTGGGCTCTCAAAGTTTTTTATTCACTGAGGCGGAAGTGGGTTCTTCTTGCACCACACCAAGAAGTGTGCCATTGTATATACTGTGCTAATGCCACGGAGTGTGTTTCTGTCCTACAAGACGTCACCGATGGTGCCTACACGGGGGACTTCTTGAAAGAACTATGTCTTTGCAGCTCCCCTACAAGTGATTGTTTTTTAGGCCATTGTGGCTATTGTGCTAAGGAGGACGCTCTGACAGCCACATGTTTAGGAATCCCTGAAGATATTGAGGTAGCCTATGCAGTATGGGAAAATGGCGATCTCGTAAAAAAAAACAGCTTAGGCAAGTGCTTTTCTGCGAGAGCTAAGTCTATAGTTCGTGAAGTGAATTATCCATAATTACGTAATATACATTCAAGAATCAGCAATACGCCAGGCGAAAGAGAGCCAAGAAAAAGAATCTTGCATTTTTCACTTTGATTTCACCGAAAATTGGACAGCCATTTTACCGAATGAGGTACAGTCGTATCAGTGGCACAAAAGACAGGTGCCCATATTTACGTGTGTCGTCACAAAGAAACAATCAATTCAAAGTTTTGCTGTCATCAGTGATGACACATGCCATGATGCTGCACATGCCTGTTTTGCTCTACAAATAATCCACAACTATATGAAGAAAGAACTTAAGCCTGACACACATGTTACTTATGTTTCTGATGGTGCATGCAGTCACTTCAAAAACAAGTACCAGTTGTTCGAGTTATGTCATAAAGATCATATATCAACAAAGTGGATTTTTTCGGCCATAGGACATGGCAAGAACTCTTGTGACAACGTTGGTGGCCTATTAAAGCATCAGGCTACGCTCTACAACCTCATAGCGGCAAGCTCAGCTGTGATTATGTCAGCATTCTAAATGGTGGTGCAAATGAGCGCGAAGCTTAAGAATGTCAAACTGCTGTGTGCAAATGCAGACGAGCTAGAAACATTCCGTCAGTTTTAAGAAGAGCCAGTGGAAATCGTTGCCACGTTTTCCAGGCAAACGTTCTTGGCATGTTTGGCTAAGCACATCTGAGGGCACTGATCGTGGTCGTGTTTTGTTAGCGTCACGTACTGCTAAATGTGATCTGCAAAAGATGCAGCCATTTTGAGCGCATCTCTTGTTTCACGCAGTCACCACCAAAATACCAGTGAGGTTACTTCAAGCGCATATGCTTTTTCTAGTGAGACCCAACACTTGCGTTGGAACATTTTCATGTTTGAGTTTATCTGCAAATATAGGCAGATGTTTTGCAACTGAGTTACAGTGTCAAAGATTTCTTCCATTAGAGCTGTGTTATCAGGAGCATAAATGCGCCTTCATGGGTACGTATTTCTGATAGTGCTAAAACAGCCTTTCTTCACCAAATGCGGTCACGTTTACTTGTGTTTGAAGCTCATTGCCGCTTTCCCGTTTCGATTTCTACATTTCTCCACTTATCAGCGCATTCACGAAAAGCTCCGATTTGTACCACGAATATTGTCGCTAAAAACAAAATAATGCAGCATGTTTTTCTATATTACTGTATGATGGCCTTCGGTTGTCTATATACGAGATTTTACGAAAAATCGAAGGTGGGGTTTTTTTATTATTCAAATTTTAGTGGAGTACACTTTTGTCAATATGAGAAGTTTGAGGCAATATATAAAAATATACATTTGCCCTACGGCAGCAATAATTTATGTACCTAATGAACACACTATATCCTTAAAACGTGTCAAGTTAGAAAACGCTGCTTGCATTACTTTCAGAGAAAAAAAATGGGGAATACGTAACTTATTTTAAACTGTCACAAAATTAGATATTTTTAAAAGCTAGTTGCTTAAAGTCTACAAATTTGAAACCGTATGAATTCATTCATTACACATGCATTTCAGGTAAAAGATATCTTCCTTGAAACAAAAATATTTGTCTTTTTATAGCATCTGCAATTTTCAAAAATGACAGGTAACGAAATTGGTGCCTCCGTGTTGGTGAAGTTTGATATTTTTTTTTCTCGTAAGCTGTGCCGTTAATCATAAAACGAAGTTTACTTTCGGGCTACCTGGTGAGAGGTGCACAAAATATAAAATACTCAATGAAATCTAAAATATCAACTTTTGGACCCGTGTCGATCTCTCGTGGAATCGCCCAGCGTCCAGTCAACCTTTATCAATTGTGTCGGTTTTGTGGGGGATTTTCGTCTTTTTACTTTTATATTAAACATTTTTTATCGGTTTTGTTGTTACAAACGGCTTTGTCCTTCATTGAGACTTTCAGAGATTAAACCTCGAGAGCTCTTACTAAAACATTAGAAAGAAGCCACCTGCGTCACGCTGCTGCTTGAAGCATGCATATATAAAGGGGTTCAACTGTATTTGGAGTTTATAGTAAGTGTACAGCCGCGACCACGTTTGTGTAGAGCACGAGAGCAGCTGGTTTTTGCTGTACGGCACGAAACCTTGACGCAGTTTCAGGCTCTGAAGTGGTGTATTAGGAGCATGTGTGGCCCAGTTGCCCGGCTGACCTAGTCAGAGCCGGCTATTGCCTCAAGGTACTGCCATTAGGAGCAAAAACAAGTGGCTCGCGTGCTCTACACAGACGTGACCGCGGCTGTACTACTTGTATTACTCAAACAATATTAGGATAAGTAGGATGAACAGTAAAAGTGCCTCAGATAGGCTGGCTGACATTTAAACAGAAGGACCTAACAACATGCCAACGATGACAAGGCAGTACTGACAAAGACAGGTCCTCCTGTCACAACATCCACCAGCTGTCCACTAGGCGTTTTTATTTGTCCGCTCCCATCTTGATTTTGGAGTTGCAAAAAATATTAGTCTATTAGGAGAAGGACTTATTGTTTTGAAAAGTTGGTTACATGCACCTGCTTCTGCATAGTATACCTCCTGGTGCGTTTTCAACGCTTTATAGGGTGGCCATATGCTCATCTCTAATGCTGCCCTTGCTAACAACAAGTCACTTTAAACACAATGAAACAAACTCATGGTAAAGCTCCCCCAGCACCTCTAAAATTCTTGTCAGCATGTTGACCTTCAAGCAGTGCTTACATATGACACACAACGGCTTCATCAGGGCATGGCTTTGATATCTGAATCTCTCCCCACACTTTCGAAGTCATTACAAGCCACATCACATCAGGCCAGTTGTGCATCAATATTCATTAGCAAAGCTCCATTTGCATCAAAGTACAAGGCCATTTGACAAATGGGACATTGTCTGCAGACAGAAATACACTCAGACCTCGATATAACGAACCCAGACATGATGAAACATCGGTTATAACGAAGTAAATGAAGAGTGGACTGGCAATTGACATACTGTAAAAAATATACCTTTATAACAAATTTCTAGATATAACAAACTTATTTTTGTGTAACACGCAACTTTGCTGTGATGAGGTTCGTGTAAAATGTAGTCAAAATGCTAAAGCCTTACCTTCGAGGCTTGCCCATGATTCGACGAATCTTGCACCATTGAACCCTCGTCAGTCGTCTCGTCTTGAGCAAAGGAAACGACTGCTTCAGGTAACCGCAAAACTCGTTGTCTCCCATGAAAAGTGGCCTTTCAAAAAAAAAAGAAGATGTACGAGTTTTAGTCACAGATTTAGCATGACGGCCTGAGTGAACCTTCGGATAGTCTTCCTCATTATTACAAGCTTCAAACAAATGAACATTCAAAAAGAAGATGACAGCCTATTTATAAAAAAGCTCTGATTTGATTGATTGATATGTGCGGTTTAACGTCCCAAAACCACCATATGATTATGAGAGACGCCGTAGTGGAGGTCTCCGGAAATTTCGACCACCTAGGTTTCTTTAACTTGCACCCAAATCTGAGCACACGGGCCTACAACATTTCCGCCTCTATCGGAAATGCAGCCGCCGCAGCCGGGATTCGATCCCGCGATCTGCGGGTCAGCAGCTGAGTACCTTAGCCACTAGACCACCACGGCGGGGCATTATTAAAAAAAAAGAGCTCGATGAGACCCTTTTCCTCAGAGAAAATAGAATGCAAGTTTTATGAAATTGCAGGGACTTCATTACATAGTTATAGCATGTTAACAGTTTTCCTACCACGGAGAAAATACGTTTTTTATAGGTTACTGTATAAATATATAACTTTTTTTTAGTTGAAGGAAGTACACCAGATGTCTTATACATAAATGAAAAGTCTCATTAATGAACTTTTCACAGAGACAAGTTTCACTAACAAAATGTGCGTTATGCAAAAAATATAAATAGCCGAATTTAAGATTGTGGGACAAAATTTAACAAAGCTTAAAAGACATGTCTTTGTCTAATAAAAAGAAAAACATAAGAATACTCATGAGATATACTAAATGCACAGCTGTCTCATAGGCACTATCACTGAAAAGTTCGAACTTCTTATTGAACATGATTTCCCCGACAAAAATCTAACTGCAACATTACAAATGGGCGTGTCATGTGGCAAAGCAGCTCCTTGACGTACAGCATAGTGTCATGTCACATGCCTTGCAGTAAACTTGTTTCCTGCTTGGTTTTTAGTGATACTTGCATTTCTTAGTTTCTATAGTTTCTGATGCTGAAATGCAGAACAAGATGCCTGAAGCAGAAACTGAAGCTGACTGACCTTCTGGGCTGGTTTGCATCGTCGTTGTTCTCGGAGTTGAAGTACAGTAGACTCGCGATAATCGAAATTCTGATAATTCATACTTTCGGTTCATTCAAACATAATTCAATTTTTTGGTTGGCCCTGTGTCCCTTCAGTGTATTTAAAAGCCTCTTAATACAAACTCCATCATCTAGTTAATTCATATTTTTTGCAGTTCCATACCAAAAAATATCTGCTGCTTTCCCACTGCAATTACAAAATGTGCATGCTTATATAATCCTAACAGTCTAAAAAGGAAAATAAGTAGCTGCTTTCCCACTGCAATTATAAAATGTGCATGCTTATATAATCCTAACAGTCTAAAAATGAAAAATAAGTACCTCACGCCTTCAAGGAAAAAGGCTTTGCTAGTAAACAAATGTTTGAAATGAAGCACATGCCTGTTAAACCATGATACTTCTCAATTGGTATAGAAAGGTTTGTGCTGAAGTTACATACCTATATCAAAGAAGCAGTTGGCAATTCATGATTACTTTAAAAGGTCTGATCAGCAGTAAAAGCCAATGAACTTGTAGGCCTTACTCCTCTGCTTTCTGTTTATTGTTTAAAAACACTTAAAACATTTTTAAGTGTGATAAAATCAATGCCTAATCATAACGAGTGATGTCATCTCACCAAGAGTCTTCTATCTTAGAGTTTCTGATAATTCGAACTTCTTGATAATTCATACAAAACAAGGCCCCTTCGAGTTTGAATTAACGAGAGTTGACTGTATGACCAAAAATCAGCATCCTCAGACCCGTTGCTTCAAGTTAAATTGACAAAATCGGCCCCAAACGCATCAGAATGCCCATATCTGCTGTCATAAAAAGTGCACGTGTGCACACTGCATCCACCAGCAGCCATTTTCGCATTCCACTTAGATGATTACACAACTTCGAAGCAGATGGAAAATCAAGGCCATTCAGGACCAAACTACGCAAAGAAGAAAGCTATGGTACTTTTCATTTATGACAGCAGGCAAGTGTGTCCAAGAATGCGCTCTGGCGAACATTTTATTGTGTCTGTGAGTGCGTGTGTATCTGCCCCCATACCTTTTTTTTCTTGTCTCTCTATCCTATATAGCGATTTTTACTCCATTTTCCTTCTCTCTTTTTTCTCTCTCTCTTTGGTTAAGGCATTTGAGAGTGGCCTACTCGATACAAAAGGCATAACCACAATCTATCATCATCATCCTCATCATGGAGCCGAATATCTCAGAAACGGCAATTGAAACCATCGTTGGCAGGCTATCGATGCCCTGCAGATGCAATACGGAAATAGCCAAGAAAGAAAGGATGACACTAGACGTGTATCAAGATCCTGTAACACTCAGAAGCCGTTTGAATTAGACGCTCAAGTGGGCCTTGAAATTTAATACCTGAAATCGTTCATCACCCTCATGACATATAGCAAAGTTTGCTAGTAGTAAAGCCCCAGATCTAAGTATGACGACACTGATTTCAACAAGTAAATGATAACACTGCGCAGAAATCTACCAGGCGTAAGAATCCAAAGCAGTCAACTTTGCGGGAAGTATGAGGTTTTACATGTTGAGAAACCGCAATAGGATTACGAAGCACGCCACGGAGAGGAATTCAAAATAAATTGACCAGGTTCTTTGTAGAGGTGCTCCACTGTGGCTCAGTGGCTAAAGCCTCGCGCTCACAGACTCTTCGTAGCACACGTAAGTGTAAGTATGCACACGTGTATTTGAATTTCGACCTCATCTAAAGCCAGCCACTGCCGTGGAGGCAAACTGAATGTGCAAGTTTGCACTTGGCAGCTCAACACAAGACTGGTTTGTTGACTCGTAGAAACATTTGCCATAAGTTTTCTAGGCTATTCTGATATGTCTAATATGCTAAACCGAGCATAAACCCTGGACGCAACACCCTGCATGCCGTAAAACTGCACTCGAAAAACAGAGAGATTAAGTTTGTAAATTCTTCCAGAGATATTGCAAACGCTACTGTAAAGTGCACCCTTTCGAAGTACACTTATTATTTAGTCTATGGTGTGACAGCGTACAAGAACAGCAACTCACTGATCTATATTCGAGTAGAACCACTCGTAGCAGACCCATCTGTGTGCTTTTGGTAGCTTCAGCAGGTTCCGAAGGCGTATGCCCACTTTCTGGATTACTCGCTTGTCCGGCACTACTACAGGGGGTGGCTTCAGAAGAAAAACAGGAAGAAAAATGCAATGAATATTTACAAAACACCTCAACGTCCTGCTTATTTGTGTGACAAATTATAATGCAGAGGGCAGGCTATTATCCCCGCAAGAGGTGTTCGCTTCTTGAATGCAAATCCCTCTTTTGTACCCCTTTCCTCCGGCCTGCATAGCATAGTTGACCCGAGCATCAAGAAATCATAAGACAATTTCATGCACAAACATGCAAGATTTCTGGTTTCAGCTTTTCATTAAGAGATATTCATTAAAAGAAATATAGTAACTAAGAGGTATGCCGGTGATCCTACAGATATTTGCCCTTTCAAGAATTCCTGGCAAAATATTTAGGAAAAAGCCTCAGTAGAAACTTGAGCAACAAAGGCGGTTCAAAATAGCCCCGTCACTGCACTCTGGTGGGTAGTAATTAAAGTAGCAGAAGACATCTGGACAGCTTATTCCAGTCCCATAGTAGAGTACCTTGACTCTAACACACACACACACACACAAACACGTGTGTGTGTGTTTTTGCATGTGTGTGTGTGTATATATATAGTTGCGTAAGGGTCGAAGTTTCTTTTATAGAGGATATTTCTGCGGACGCAGAACAATGATGACGAGCGGGCGAATGCTGGTGGTGGATGCGGCGTACGGCCTTCGAGATATTCGATGAATTGTCGAAGCTCGGAATCGCTCTTCTGCTGTTCGGCCAAGTCGGATACACTAACGGCGCAGAGAAAACGGCCGTCGAGATCGTGATCAGCTGACACTGTCTTAAGAGGAGCTCGGGAAAGGCAGTCCGCGTCAGTACGCTTCCGGCCAGACTTGTACACGACTGTCAAATCGAACTCCTGAAAGCGTAAACTCCACCTGGCCAGACGTCCGGAAGGGTCTTTAAGGTTCGCCAACCAGCAGAGCGCATGATGATCGGTAACAACCCTGAACGGGCGACCATACAGGTACGGTCTGAATTTAGCTATTGCCCAGACAACAGCTAGGCACTCCTTTTCAGTTGTTGTGTAATTCGCCTCCGCAGATGATAAAATCCGACTCGCATAAGCAATAGGGCGTTCGACGCCGCCTTGCCACTGGACGAGGACTGTACCAAGGCCGATGTTACTGGCGTCTGTGTGTAGTTCAGTGTCGGCATATTCGTCGTAGTGTCCGAGTAAGGGCTCAGGTTGGAGACGCTGCTGGAGCTCGGAAAAAGCGCGTGTTTGTTCAAGGCCCCACACGAAGGGAACGTCGTCTTTTGTCAGACGAGTGAGGGGTTCGGCAGAGTTTGCGAAATTTTGCACAAAGCGTCTGTAGTATGCGCAGAGGCCTAAAAATCGACGCACATCACGTTTGTTGGTAGGTGGTGGAAAATCTGCGACAGCCAATGTTTTGTCTGGGTCCGGCCGAATACCATCAGGGCTAACAAAGTGACCGAGGAACTTTAATTCGTTGTAACCAAAATGACATTTTTCTGGTTTCAGTGATAGGCCTGCCGTGCGAATTGCAGCAAACACAGATCTAAGTCGCTGCAAATGCTGCTTAAACGTTTGGGAGAAGACAACGACGTCGTCTAAGTAAACAAGGAATGCTTCCCACTTGAGACCGGAGAGCACTGTATCCATCATCCTCTGGAATGTCGCAGGGGCAGAACACAGACCGAAGGGCAGCACCTTGAATTCGTACAGACCATCAGGCGTTATGAATGCTGTTTTCTCTCGGTCGCGTTCATCAACTTATCCATAGAGGAGAAGTATCGGGCGCGTCGGAGGCGGTCTAGTGAGTCGTCGATGCGCGGAAGCGGATAAACGTCTTTCTTTGTGACTTTGTTGAGTTTGCGGTAATCGACGCAAAATCGGAGAGTGCCGTCCTTCTTTTTTACCAGTACGACGGGGGACGACCATGGACTGTTCGAGGGTTGGATTACGCCATCTTCGAGCATCTGCTTCACTTGAGAACGTATAGCCTCCTGTTCCTTTTGTGATACTCGGTAGGCGTGTTGACGTATGGGTCGCTCAGAATGGTCAGTGACAATGCGGTGCTTTACGGTTGGCGTTTGTTTTATCTTGGATGTAGACGCGAAACAGTCGCTAAACATGCGGAGGATACAGCGGATTTGCTCTTTCTGTGTACATGACAGCTTCGGATTGACATCGACTGCATCGGCTACCGCGGTGTCACTTTCAACGGCTGCAGAAATTTGGGCTATCGTCGTACACGCTTCATCGTCAATAGATTCGAAATGAGCGATAGTTGTTCGCTTGGCCAAATGTTGGTATGATCCACTATAACTGGTGACCAACAACTCAGTCATCCCACGTTTAAATTGAATTATGCCGCGGGCAACACAGATTTGCTGAGACAAGAGCACCGAAAGGTTGGTTTCAGCGATACCACTACTGGGTCTATGTCGCCCTGTACTGTAACGAACATACTGGTGCCTGGCGGAAGTGTGACGGTGTCGTCGACAATGCGAAGCGCAGTCTTCTGCGGATTGGTATCTCTAGGCTTCGAGCCATAGTCGTCAGTAAACGTTACGAGGCAGTCTCGAAGATTTATAACAGCGCCGTGCTCACGAAGGAAATCCATGCCAAGGATTACTTTCCGGGAGCATTCGGGAAGCACAACGAAAGAAGCAACGAACGTCGACTCACAGATTTGCAGCCTTGCGGTGCATCTCCCGATTGGTGTCAAGAGATGACCACCGGCTGTCCGAAGGTTTGGTCCATGCCCCCAAGGAGTGGTGACTTTCCTGAGTTCAGCCACAAGTTCAGCGCTGATAACTGAGTAGTCGGCGCCGGTGTCGACCAGAGCAGTCACTGGATGGTTGTCGACACGAACAGAAATGTCAGCAGAAACGGGTTCGTCAGCGATGTGAGGTGTCGGCTGAAAGGAATCGTCGAAGGTCGGTGGAAGGGTCGGAGGAGGCTGTTTTGACGATAGCTTAACAGCGGTCCCACCCCCGGAGGCCGCTTATTCTAGTTTCCCCGGCGTGGACTTGGGGACCTAGCGGATCGTCCCGCAACAACATCGGCGAAAGTGGAGTATTGATTCGCGGACGTAGAGCGTCGAGGAGACGGAGAGCGTGATTGGCGTCGCTGAAGATTCGGAGACGGTGGACTTGCCAAGTATTCTGCGATGGCGCGGGGTCGTTCGCCGTCCCTGGGCCGACGAGCGTCTGGCCGAAATCCAGGTAGGCCCATCTGTCTGTACGAGCACTCCCGGTACAAGTGACCTGGCTCACCACAGTGGTAGCATAGTGGCCGATTGTCGGAAGCGCGCCACACGCTGGATTTCCGCAAATTGGGTCGCGGATTCTCATAGTGTGGTGGGCCCGAGAAGTACTGCGGCATCTGCAGGCAAGTCAGTCGTTGGTTTTCATAGCGTGGCCCACCCGAGAAGTGCTGTGGCGTCTGCAGGCTAGTCGGTCGGGGGAAATAGCTGGCTGCCGGTGCAGGAGTACGTACAGCTTCCGCATACGTTAGCAGAGGAGCTTCGGTTGGAGGTGGCGCTAATAGTCGTACCAGCTGCCGCACCTCTTCATGCACGACGTCTGTCAGAGCAGCCACTTGAGGCTGTGAAGGCACTGCGTGAAGCTTTTGCAGCTCGTCGCGTACAATGCTACGGACTAGCTCAGCAAGGTCTCTCACGCTCGTGACATCGGGTGTTACCAAGGGTGCTGACAGACATGCAAGGTTGTCGGACCGCTCATACTGCGAAGACCGCTGTCTCAGCATTCGCTCCATTGTCGTCGCTTCACGGAGGAATTCTGCCACAATAGCTGGTGGGTTTCGTACAAGTCCTGCAAACAGTTGCTCCTTGACACCCCGCATCAGAATGCGCACCTTTTTGGCTTCCGTCATTGCAGAATCCGCTCGACGGAACAGACAAGACATCTCCTCAACGAACATGGCCACGCTTTCATTGGGTCGTTGATTGCGAGAATTGAGGAGACGTTCGGCTTGTTCTTTCCGGTCAGTGCTACCATACGTGTTCCGCAGCTGAGTGCAAAACACTGGCCAGGTTGTCAGGGCAGCCTCGTGATTCTCGAACCAAATACGCGCCGAATCCTCCAGGTAGAAATAGACATACCGCAGTTTCCGGTGCTCGTCCCACTCGTTGGCGACGGCGACACGATCGTATTGGTCCAGCCAGTCTTCAACGTCTTCGTAGGGCTCCCCATGGAAGGGCTTTGGCGTTCGAGAGGCTGGTAGCCATGGTGCTGGCGGAGTCGCGGTCTGTTCAGTCTGGCTTGCAGTTGTCGCATATGCCATGGTTCTGGAGCGTTCCGGAAGAGGGCTGAACTGGGGTGGTAGGCCTAGTTGCCGCCGACTGCGTCGAAGGTTGGCTGTTTCTGCTAAAGCGTCTATGTTGGGACCGAGATCTTCCTCGTGGTAACAGTGCATAGACTATTACCCAGCACCTCCACCAGTGTCACGTTACAACGTAACTGTAACCTGCTGATAAGGGCACACAAGGACGTCAAACTGATTCGAACAATGGCAGTACGACTATTGTTTTTCTCTGCACGCGCATCTTTGTCCTCTTCTGAACAGCGGCACATACAAGCATGCTAGCATCTGTGGAAATAATAGTTTCAGAACTTGTACTAGTGGCAATATATATATATATATATATATATATAAACAGAGGCTGGCTGAAGAAGTGAAGAAGCAATGAGTACCATCCATGTAATGCAAGTACCATCAATGTATAACCATTCAGTGAGTATCCCATTGCTTAGGCAATTCTTTCTGGCCACAGTTTTGATAAATGCCCAATTCACAAGGGACAAGCAAAGCAAATTTTTATTGTTTTTTCTTTTATTTTTATTAATCCTGACAATAAGTATGAGCATTGTTTATGCGTCCCATCTTTTCATCTGTACATACTCATCATCACTAGTCCAAGCTTAGGTTGTGGGGCACATACTCGAGACAACAAAGAAGAGTCTTGAGGGTGCTGGACGCCATCTTACAAGGTGTTTTAACAAACCATCCTGGCAAATGTAACTGGCTGCTACATAGCACACACTCCGAAGTACTGTTGTTTCTTTTACACAATCAGCACTCAACGTCTTTTTTTTTGTGCAATTTTCGGCACCCTTGTGTTATATTACGATGTTTGAATGTGCCAAGTCTCGTGACTCAGTCTTTTTTGAAGGGTGCTATTTGGACCTGTTGGTTTGCCATTAGTGAGTATAATGTTGAGCACAAAAGACACTGACACAACAAAAGACCATGTAACATACAGGGCGCATTGTTGGTCTCCCAAGTCATACGAGCCCTGTATGGTACATCGTGTCTTCTTGTGTCCATCTCTTTTGTGTGCAACATTATACTTACTGACTGGGTGCATTTGGTCTACAACTATGCTTTTTATGTGCATGTTTTTACTTTTTCATCCTTACTATGGCCAGTTTTCCCGGCCGCAAACTTGGCTTCCTTTGATACTTTTACAGTGAACGCTGTTACGAGATCACTTTTTGGGTCACGCACAGTTGTTGTTGTCCGCCACCGGTGTCCGTACCCGCATCGTGCGAAATTAGAAAAAAAAAAAAAAAAACTTGCACTAATGATACAGTGGGGCTTGAACCCGGGTCTTCTGGTTGCCTGCCCAGTATTCTACCACTGAGCTACACCAGAGCTTGTGACTAGTCAAAAACTTGCCTTAGGCAGGCTTGATGTCGGGAAAGCAATTGCGTTTATGCGACTTATAAAGCGTTTTACAACAGCGAAAGAACACCCGGCCGTCGCACAATGCGAATAGCGTAATGAGTGGGCCATCTAATGCTCCAAACCATCACAAAAGCTTGTTCTTGTTCCCCTATTAACTGTGGTGCATACCCACTTCAGCCATCATTCCTCATTGTCGTCAGCCACTGCATGGATAATTGGCACAAAATTCTCTGCATGTGTTTAGCGGATACCACGCTTCTCAGAAGAATGATGAAAAATAGCATAGCGAATGCCGGCCTACTACCCAAAAATTTATTATTATTGCCCTAGTGGGTACTAAGCAAGTGTGCTTGCAGTAGTTACCCAATGAGTGTTTTGAAAAGGCTCTGAAAGGCCGCTCTTCTAGCTTTCGCTGTGACTGTGCTGCGCCTATACCGCGCAGGCCTGGCTACTGTCATGTTTGGGCCGGCTACTGGCAGTTTTCCACAACAATCTTGATAGAAAAAAGAAAATAAGCTACGAACAGGTTTAATCGAAGCAGTTTTCTATGACTCGCATGAAAAGTTGGGAAAAGAGATTGCAGCCTCACTTTTTTCAATCCATTTTTGTGGCGCAAGTGCACCAAAGTTGAATTCCATCATAAACACCCTTATATGAAACAAATGGGTATATGTCACCACTGTGCCTACAATGAAATACGGGTTGATAAGAAAATACATATGCTGTACCCTGCTTATAAGAGACATCTCATATAAACGACAAGCATTGCTGCCCGAAACATGCCTTTCATAAAGGGTGAACTGTATATGCTGACCCCATAGCATTTCTTTTATGGCTTGATGCTGACCAACATTTGACACATACAAGAAACTTCGAAACATCCAAACGACTCGGCAGTTTATTGAAAGAAATTCGAAGGGGAAGAAATAACCTGCAACTGAATATAAACTTATGACAACAGCAAAAATAGAATTGATCTTTAGTTCTTCAATTTTATTAGATCTGCTTTAACTTTTGTGACAAGAAACCACTATGGGCAAGACCCAAACACAGCATGCAAGGCTGCAATGTGCAAAACTATGCGATATTCATTGCTTGCTGTTGCCTGAAGCAGTTAGGACACACAGATTGAGTCTGAAACACCTGCTGGGTATCTGCACCTGCTCAGTTTGATAAATGCAGTAGCAAGCTTAGTTCACGAGGCCCCAGTAAGGTTTGATGCTATAATTCATACTTACTACGAAATATAAAACATGCACAAGTAGGCTTAATGAGCCCATTCCTTTAGCATAATTAGTTAGCTCACCCAAGAGCACATTTTATGAAAGCTGCACAAACAATGCAGCCATAAAGGTTTCACTAAATGCATTCGTGTTATTTTTGCTGAGCAATGCAGGCTACAGAGTAACTACTGAACACTGAACAGTTAATTAAGAAGGAAGTAGGATGAACATAAGCCTGCACTAAGGGACACGCACTCTTGACTAAGCCATGAACCAGAAAGCCCGTTACATTGGACTCGACTAATGAGCAGCAGGACAATTTTTATTTTTGCCACACAGACAATCGATCATTGCATTTTGGTTAACACGGCAGGGCTTCTCTCAACTCAGTTGGATCAGGGCAAAAGGGAACCTTTTTGCGGTTCTAGCATGTGACATACTATTTTTACACTCACATGCGAGCAATGCACTATGACTGCTGGATGCAGACGCAGATTGGTGTTGCTCTGCCCCATTCAGTGGTTAATATATTCACGTCTGCTACACTTTCCACCCAGTATTTATGCTCTGCTACGTTTTGTTAGAGATCTCACAGTTGCCTCAAATCACAAGAAACAGGGCTTGGCAATTTTTCTTGACTATGTTCAAGGCACTACTTTTTGGTCTCCTGTCTGAGCACTGACAGTTTCCAAAGTGATGCCTGCTGTATGCTGGAGAGCACACTTTATCTACTTGTGATATTGTTAAATGAATGAATTGCTGGAGTTTCACATGCCGAAACCATGATATGATTATGAGGGCCACCACAGTGGGGCCCTCTAGATTAGTTTTGAGCAACAATGGTCCCTCAATGTGCACCTAAACCGAAGAAATCAATGTGGCACCCGGACCACCATGTATGGTGTATGGGACTCAACTTCCAGTTCCCTCCGTATTCTGTAATTTTGTTACATAAATAAACACGGACTAGTGCAAAAGAAACCCCAGCAACCAATCGAATGTTTCACTGAAAGTGTCTGATGAAGCTCACGCAGTCCAAAATGGCAGAAGTGAACTTCCATGTTTGCAAATGCATGAAGCGGTTCCGTAACTAACCTGTAGTGTAAATGCGTGCGAGCATCTCCCTTTTCAAACATCGCTCTTGATAGGCTCTGCTCAATCGGAAGTTCATTTTTATGATGTGCAAGTCTTTATAAAAGTCTCCCTATTTACACCGCTTGTAATATGTTTCAGCGTTTCATTTTACATGTGGCACATTACAGCTTTAAGCCACATTCAAGTCATAAGAAGCCATTCCATCAGAAATTTTCTTTTGCAGCTGCATCTTACACTTATGGTTGATGTAACATTCTTATGATTGTATATGTTCCACTAATGTGAAAGCACAGAAAACGAAAAAAACTATCAAGTGGCAAAGTAAAACTATCAAGTGGCAAAGTAAAACGATCAAGTCACAGTAGTCTGTTTTGCAACTGTGCCGGTGTCATCACACTCAGTTAATCTAAGACTTGAGTACTATATAGTTCATACAGTAACTGCAGGAAGGGGAGATGTAGGCTTGAGATGAAAAACTCCATAAACATTTTCATGGTTAATACAGGGCGACAAAAGGAACAAGTGAAAGCCAAAGTAACAGAGTAATGTACAAAAGTGAATGCAAACGAATACGCTTATGAACTGGTTTGGAACTTTACCTTCACGTATAACACTGCACATTACAAAGTATAAAGTAATTTTGGTTCGGAACTTTACCTTCACGTATAACACTGCACATTACAAAGTATAAAGTAATTTTGGTTCGGAACTTTACCTTCACGTATAACACTGCACATTACAAAGAATGAAGGTAATTTTATAGGGCAACATTCTAACACAACACAAGGCTATGAGATCTGGAAGTTGCAACTGCTGCGAGCAAACTGCAAACTTGAAATGTAAAAAATGTCAAACTATGTCCCACGTTTTTTTTGTTCTGAAAAATGAAGCCAGTTAACTTGCACAGAAACACTCCTTGTTAAGCATTTGGATTGAAGTGCGATGACGGGCTCTCACGGGACAGGTTTCTTTGCAGCTTTTTTCTATTACAGAAGCTTGCTTTAAAGAGTATCGAACTTAGGTTCTGGACTTAGCATAGCTTCCATTCAGCTGTTTTGTACCAAATGTAACCTATGTAACCATGCTAATTTTTTCCTTACATATTAGCCATTCCATATATGTAGGCAAATCACCGTTTAGAAGTAAAGATAGAAATGGCAAAACCACTACAGCCTGGCCTTTAAATACTTTTACCAACGCGCACACATGGTTACTGCTATATTGAAAACAATGTATGCATGATTCAGGCGCAGATAGTTATGCTAACACAGAAGCTAAGAAATGTTTAAAGGTGAATACATACAGGCTCCTTTTTAACGCTGCGGCTACTCGTTCGCTTGTCCGGCGTCCATTCGGGATCGTCAGTTTTCTGCGAAACCTTGGAAACGAAAAATGCGGGCGAAAATGAAATAAGATGTTCATCGAGGGACGGCATGATTTTCCATTCGAAACCGGAAAGCGGGAGAAATTGATAAGCAAAAGCACACTCACCGGGGACGCAGTGCGAGCAGATTTCCGCGCCGAAGACCTCGATAGCGTGTATGATGTATCCTCGAAGTCATTGAATATCCTCTTATTTCGCTTCCTTATACGAGACGGCTGCAAGATACGATGCGGCATCAGTGGGCAAGCTCAACAGGATGCGCGCAGTTCCACACATCAGGCACGGAACATATTGCAGCGCGGGGTTACGTCTGAATAAGGTCACACATGAAACCGACTCACCCGGGACATCACCGCCAGTTGCTTTTGCGTATTGTTGTTTAGAGTGCCTGAGGAGAGAAAAAGGATCGTTAATTTAACTCAAAATCACCGCAGGCACGTCGCTTTTCACGGCACACGTTCCCCGAATATTCTTTTTTTTTCCAAATGTCGCGCGCTCACGGGGCGGTCTACATGGCTAACGCTGCGTGCTTGGCGTCGTATACAAAACATTTCAACTACGTACCATCCTTCATGCTGAGAAGCGCTGCCGCCGATTCACCTGAAACGAGAAGGGGAAACGTGGATACAAACACACCGCGAAGCGACACGCACCAGCAGTGGTGCTCACATTGGACGAGCAATTTTTTCCGCCAAATTTTCAAAATGTTCCAGAGGCGAATTCAAAATGCCTGCAGCGGGACTGCGATTAGGCTTACACAATCAGTATTTATTTTTCGCTACGGGAATAGCGAGCCAAATACGTCGAGAAGACGACGACTGCAATCAACAAAGGCCGCTTCGTCTATTCCGAGTAAAATCGGTCACCTCTAACTACGTGGTAAGCATGCGATCACGCCTATAAACACCCCGGAGGAAATTTCCTACTTTCAAGCGAGTCCGCCATGTCGACGCATTTGAAAAGCGCTACTTCAGCGCCACAAGCCACGTCACGTAAATCAAAACGTCAATCTGGCAACCACAAAAAAACGAAACCGAAACCAAAAAGCGTGTTTTTGAAATTGCCAAAGAAAAGTAAATAATGTTTCTGTCTACGAAGTAGTCACTACTGACTAACTTATTCGTAAAATTACAATAAATGCTATAAGCAGTGCTGAATTAAAGTGACTGAACTGCCCTAAAATGTGGTCTCACTATAGTAGGTGCGCTTAAAGTTTATGACACAAAGAGACAGCTTTGCTTCAGACGCCATGCAGCAATTTTAGTTAAAAAATTTCTTTAAAATACATGAAAGATTTTATACTGACAGCAAAAGCAAATTTTTTGTATAAGCCGTTATTTTTTATTACTGTCATTACAAAATCTAAATTTTCAAAGAAAATAAAACATTGTACATAACTTTGGTTGTCAGCGCAGAAGAAATTTCAAAGTAATACTTACAGTAGTTTAGATACCTTGAGCTTGCTCTTCTCAATAAAAATACGGCTGCCGAGAACCCTGGAAACAGTGTCGTAGAGCTTGGTAATAATGGAGGGAGGAATAACCTTATTTCACGTGGAAAAGGAATATACTTTCTCCACATAGAGAGAAGAATATACTTTCTTCATGTTCATAATGCATACTGATCATTAGTGCGATGCCACTACCTTAAAAAATCACTTTCGGTTTCGGTATCGAAAAACTGGCTTTAGATTGCTTTTTCAACATAGGTGTAACGTAACAAGAATAGTGAAACTCACAAAATACTAACCCCAGCTCTGCCAAATTCTGTCGGTCACACGCAGTTTACGTCAACAACAATGAGTTAATAGCCGACCAGCAACTCCGACAGCGATTTCTGCGATTTAGGCTGCATGCAAGACACACACTTCGCAACCCGATCGAACTAGAGATCCATAGAGTTTCATGCAATTATTATATGAAACTCTATGTAGAAATCGAAATGTGGTGATTCGGCTACAGTGCCCTAGTAGAAGCAAGGAGGAAGGAAAAACTGAGGAGAGGCCCTAGCCTATCCCAATGCATTGCGAAAAGTTTGGCGGAAGTGACGTCAAATTTATGGGGCAAACAAAACAGCAGACGCTCCGCGGCGTGCCCTCAGCGCTGGTTCGCTTCTGCGCAGACTTATAGCCCCAGCGTAAACTTAACGCGTATTGTATGGTTTGCATGCAGTAAAATGTTGCGAGCGCACCTTTTCGAAACTGTTCCTGTGTGGCAGACCCGAGCGCGGCGTGCTGAAATACTTCGTGGAATGTTTTTGTGTAACAGCACAAAAAGCACCGGTACGTGTCGTAATCAAAATCATTCAGCCCCTGCATCATCATATTCGAACTCACCCGCCAGTGACTTACGCGTCCTACTCACCATAAGGCCTCCTCTCTCTCTCTCACTCTTAGCCAGATTTCCCTATCTTCGGGCCGATTAGCAGTTCTTTGCTCGTATATAGTGTCAGTGAGCCAATGCACGATTTTGAGAGCTTGCTTCGCAGCTATTCCATGCAACGCCAGCTTTGTGGTGCCAGCAGCCACAGTGGTGCCTCCTTACTTGACGTACTTCACGTCGGTAAGAAGGCACTGCTGTATTGTATACGCGATCGTGCACGCAAAGTGTGTAATTCCAGGGCACGCGCACAAAACCATCACGCAGCGAGCGCACACCGTACAATACATACACAATTAGTCCGATAACAAAAAAAGTTTATTGTCCTTCCGTATGAACGACACAACTTCTAAAAACGCCACACGATGCCTACAACACTAAAAACGAAAGTTCGCGTGTGTTCTAGCTCAGTTGACGCAATGAGTAAGAACCAACGTAGCATACATCTGAGAGCTCCACAAGCAAATACCATGCATTATTGATAAACAGTGAAGCGAACATACGTGAAAAGTGCCACCAGGTACATCCGGCGGTGCACGCGATTCGCACCGAGTATACAATACAGCTGGGCATCGCACGTGCAGCTTTCCCAAAACACGCAAAAGAAACAGCACTCGTGCATTGGCTCGCTGCCGGCGGAGAACACCTACCACTGAGCCGGCACCGCTTCGAAGGTTGCTCGCCGGAAATCGCGAAGTGTTTATCTGCTTTTCCGCGAGGAGGTAGTGTCGGTGTTAGCGATGCTGCGGCTTCAAGAATATGACGTCCAAGGAGGTTCTATGCTATGCCTTCTGGAGTGGAGGTACGCCCCGATAAGTGACGCCAGAGTTATGCGATATTGGAAAAGGAAAGACTCGGCAGCAGACGACAAAGTGCACTTCGTAGCTCCGCCCTTGCAGTGGCCTTTGGAGACTGTGACATGCTTTTCTAAAGCAGTTAAAGATTTTACAAGGCCATGGTGACTACAGGTCCGTTCGATTCGCCTGCACCACGTGAACCAGTTCACGGGGTGCTGCACTTTGCCATTCGTTTCAGAGGTGCAGCATTGACGACCTCTTAACCCTGCCATTCGTTTCAAAAGGTGCAGAAGAGATGCAGCATTGGTTCATGATTTTCGTGCACCTCCTACGCTGATGGTGCCGGCTTGGTGCAGCCGCGCGTGAAGCTGAGCAGACGACACAGCACTTAGGCGTAGGCGCCATACCCGCCTCTACTAACGTGGTGTGTTTCGCCAAGATGTTTGCGCCTCATGAACTGTCCACATGTGCGGTTCGCCATCTTTCAGTGTTCACTGAACGGTGTAAATTAAGCGAACAGAAATAAGGCCTGCACCATGTTGGCACATCGTCATTCGTTTCGGGGGTCGCGCTGTGCCTGCACCGCTGAACTCGTGCTGCACAATTTCTGAACTTCGCGTGCACAGCCGTGAACCGATTCCGACTGGTGCTGGTGAATCGAACGGACCTTACGTGCGTCGCTTATGGCTGCAAAAATCGCATCAAGAAGACGCCTCGGATCACCTTTCACGTGTAAGTTTTCTTGCTTCATTCGCTGACGATCACCTGTTTTTTTCGCGTATTTTGTTAAATTAGAAACAATATCTAAGGTGCGAATGCGTATAATACATGCGTATAGCTGAATGGAAGGTAACTTGAAGCTGACACGACGTTGTCTCTGAGTTTTAAGTTTATGAACGAAGGACTTGCGGTCTGTGGCTGCAGGTATCAAACATTGGAACGAGTAGGATGTCTGAACGCCCTTTGAATTCCAAGTTTTCTGGCGTTGTCTTACAAGGCAAGACTGACGGCGTGCATGCATATTTTTTGCAAGAGAATATCGAATTTGGTGCATGTTTATTGAGAAATTCGCAAACGTAGAGAACAATTCTATTCCATGATTATGCGTGTTACAAGTTTCCGAAAGACAGTGCGCTGCGTTCTGCCTGGGAACGTGCTGTTCGAAGAAACAGTTGGAGTGCTACAGACGGTGACCACCTCTGTTCTATTCATCTTGAAGAACGCTGCTTCGACAGAATGGGGAAGACAACCAGGCTGTGGCCTGGCAGTGCACCTTCGATTTTTCCTGCTTTCCGAGCGCATCTGCAAAAACCTGTTAATTTCTACCTCCTTGACGTAGCTTCAATAGAATGCAGTCACGGAAGTAAAACAGGATGAGACACTTTGAAATGTGTTCTATCTTGCCGATGAAACCGAAACCAAAACGCCGACAGACGAAGTAGTCATAATGAGAGAGGGGAGTTATATCAAACATCGAGCTACCTCGTTTCTAGGCTCTGAAGGCTGCGCTTTCCATGACAACACAAGTCGCCAACTGATGTTGATAAATATTATGAAGAACTAACGCCACTGAAATTGTTCTTATAAACGGTTTATTTGGGTTACGTCTCCTGGAGTTTGTTGGTTGCACGCCACATCGGTGCTTCAGTTTTGGTTCGGCCTGTAATTTGGTTAGACTTCGAACACTCTAGAAAAAACATTCGTGACTCAAAGTTTACCTAATTACCTCTCTATTCTAACTTTAGCTTTAATTATTTCAACTTCCTTATATATTCTCTGGTAATCTCCCGATTCACACACAGGCACATATATGAAACAGGAGAGCAAATGTCATGTGCCCCTTGATCTTGAGTATCTGCACGCACATTTCTTAAAACACCCAATACATACTACAACCCTTTGTACCGCAATAGTGCGCCAGCAAGCTCGATATGCGAAGCATCCCTCGACAACAGATTTATCTGAAAGCGTGCAGCTGACAATGGGTGAATGAAATAATTTGTTTTATAAACAAAAAGAAGCATTTATTCGTTGGTGTAACGTAAAAGTGGTTTCCCTCTCATTTTTTTTTTTTATCGTGGAACTGCAAACCAACGCGCTCGACGCGCGTATTTCATTGCGGTCTACGGCGGGTCCGCCCTATTTTACCTCTAGCAATTATGGCCGCTGGCGGCTTCACTTATTCCCGTTGGCAGCAGTCAGGACTGCCACTCCAGAGATCCTATATAACCTCCTTGATGACGTGATGGCCTCTCCCACAGAGGAAGGAAAAGTTTACCTTCCCCCGTGAGTAGAAGTTCGGCGTTATAGTGTTCATGGCGATGGGACTAGTTCACAGATGCCGAGTGGCCAAAACTGCAAAATAAAAGTAAAATACTTTTTTTATACGTATTGTCTGGCTAATGCATGTTGACAGCAGTAGTAGTGCATGCCATGGAAACGAAAATTGTCTCTTCTCGAATGTCTGAAAATCACATCAGTATTTAATGTACATATCTTCAATGCAGATACTTTCGCTAAAACTTCCCATCAGCTACAAAGAATTTCGACCCGTGGGCGTCGCCATCTTAACCTGATGAGGAATAGTTTTGCTGGCTTTCTATATCGTAATGTTAAATGATCATGCTCATGCAACGTTTAATGTTCCGTCCTAAGCATTTTTGTGATTCCGAGTTCGCCGTAGCACTCTTTGTTTATTTGTTGTTTGCTACAAAGGTTAAACGTTACCAGTCCAAGATGGTGGCCCATGAGCGCCTTCGA